TGATTTTTATTTTTGAAGACCTGTGAATTAGTTGGGAATTTTTGTTGAGTGAACGTGTTTTATTTGATGTTTTAGCATTTAAGGTGTTGGAAATGTTGGAATGATTGTATTTTGTTAGAAATGCTGTGAGGGTTATTTAAGTATGTCGAGTTTTAGCTATATTCTGAAAATATTGTGAATGATATTCCTGTGTGACAAACTTTAAAGTTTAGGGAAGGTCTTTTGGGACGCATACACCCAATGACGCTGGTTTAATATACCTATGCATAACTCTGTTCATAATACTAAGTATAGGTTTTTCTGAATTTTGTTGTCTTAACATTACGAGATCTCTATTTAAACATGCCTCGTCCCTATTTAATCTGCGAAATGCCTGTTCAATTTTTGTTTCAAATTATCTCAAGTTGTGACATTTTCTGTACCTAGGATCAATTTTGTGTTTCCAGTTAGTTTTCCGATGACGCAATTTATCAAGTAAATATTTTGAAAATGGTTTGGATGATTTACAACTTAGAAGTTATCAATTAAACTTTGGCATACTGCCAAATAATATCTGTTCATATATAATATCAGACATTAAAGGAATTACAAATTGCACATTGCACTTATATGAAAATTATTCCAAATTCAGGAATTTCCTTTATTTGGAGAAGGAAAATATAAAGATTTCAGAACCCGAATTAAATGAAAATTCAGACAGAAAAAATGAGCACAAAGAGTTTAAAGATAAGAAAAATGAGAAAATCAGTAGAAATTTTCATAAAAAAAAACTGTTGAAACTGCATTAAAACTATTATTTAACAAGGGATTTTGGAACATTGAATTGGCTTTAATTGGAACCTAATTATTATGTTAAGATCAGATTAAATTTTCAAAGTTGGGATTAAATTGGATTGAAACTTTGCAAGCTCATTTTGATTTTCATCAGAACTCTTTGAAGATTCGCAGCAATCTAATGAAGCATTTGAAAGGGTTAATTCATTTCTCTTATTTTTTGATTCCAAGCTCTTAGATTTTTTAATTTAGAAAAGAATAACATCAAGTCTTATTCAATAAGAGCCTGGAATAAACAAAAAAATATTTTAAAACAAAAAAATTAGTCCTATTATTAATTTAAATTGTTTATAATAATTAAATATGTGACACGGTTCCAATCGCTGCATTATTTTTGTCACATAATGTTCGCATTTCTTTAAACCAACCGGACAATTCAATGAATTATAATTTTTTTGTACCGAGACTGATCATTTCCAATACTAGAAGCATGCTTAACCGTTATAATAAATTTTTCCTTTGGGCTCGGTATGAAATTCCTGCAGTGAATATTAATTATTTCCGAAAGAAAGCGAAGCCCTAAATCACTACTCCCCAAGAATTTCGCTTCAGTTTTTTCCAATCGGTCACAAAAGACACTCGCAACAATGCTTACTAAATCAATTTTAATTTTCACTTTATTTTGCTGCAAGGCTTTAGCTGAAGAAGTGCTCAAAGTAACTGCAAGAGACTCGTATTTAGATGCTTACCAAGAATCAATAAAATCTACAACACTAAAAGCCGAAAAAAAGAGTGATAACAATGCTTACCCGGTGTATTCCGGACCTGTTGAACGATTTGAACCGTCTGATTCTTATGGTCAGCCTCAGTATGGTCCACCAAGCTCACAGTATGGACCACCAAATTCACAGTATGGACCACCAACTCCGCAGTATGGTCCACCAAGTTCACAATATGGGCCACAGTACGGACCACCGCCGTCTTATGGGAGTTTTGCTGAACCAATGCCACAGTAAGAAATTGTTTACTATGTACCGATTTTGGTTCTTACTTGAAATATGTACCTGAAAAATATCCAATCTATCAGAGACACAATTGAAATTAGATTTAATGTTTCCTAAGCTGAAAATTGCTTATGGTTTCCTATAGCTCTTCACCTCAAATCAAGAGCCTGTAATAAACTAAATTTGAGCTTTTTCGGGTTTTTGATTATTGATTTCCTTAAGAGAGATTATCCAATGAATCAAGCTAGAGCCAGTGATCAAAATTTTGACTGAAACCTTCCAAAAATAAAAATTTAGACATTCAACCAGAGTCCCTAATTTGGATTTCCGTTTTGACTGAATTAAACTAAATTATATTTACCTATTTATAACCAGAATTAGTGAATGTAAATAAGTAGGTACTAAAAATTGTCGGTACCTACTTTTATGACAATTTTTGTAAATAAGCTAATTCAAGAACGACGGCTTAAATACCCATAATTGCCTATATGGTCGTTTACTGACTAATGCTTTCAAAATTGCTGCAATTACACAATAAAACGGAATCTTTTATACTTTTCAGGTACGGTCCTCCTGCTTATGGCCCTCCAGCTCAAAACCTTCAAGTTTTCTATGGAGTCCCGCACGCAATGATCAGCATCTGGGACAAATTATACGAAAAAATCAAATTGAAATTGAGCTTATTTACTCTAGGAAAAATCCTGTTGAAATTAGTAATTTTCAAAAAAATTGTTAGTTTGATTGCTATCGTTTGTCTCTTGCTATTTATTCCTTCTTTGAAACATAAAAAGGGTTTATTTGGCGGCGATGAGGGTGAGAGAAGCTTTAAATATGAAACTGATGGTGAGTGAAAAAGTTACAGGGTGATATTTAGGAGATTTTTGAATGAAGCAGCATAATGAATCTTCAAAACACAACAAGTTTAATAACAATATTAGAGAGCAACAAACATTGAAATAACTACAATAAAGAGTATTTCTAAGGGCACTGGATCCAAGTACACTTGAACCAGAGCTGTCAATATTTGAAGTAAATTACTTGAAATTTTACTTCAAGTACATATATAAGTTCGAATCTTCATTAGTGCAGGCTATTTGATTATATTTAAGCCCATACCTTTTATTTATAGAGAATTTAATGCTCCTTCCAATGGTATATAACTTATTCCAATTTTCTTGAAATTTAACAAAGATATAGGCAATTGCTCATGACCATGTCAAGATTTTGAAAATTTTCGAGAGCCAAAAATACTTTTTACTTTTATTTTTGCTTAAATGGCCATTTGAAAATGATGTCAGGGCTGTTTTGACCCACTCTACCGATTGGTTAAATCAAAATTGAGCAAAACTGGAAAATAAAAAATCGAGTTTTTCATAAGGGTATCCCCTTTGAATTCTGTTTTGAGAATATTCAAACCTCAATTGCTCGGTAACTGTTGAACAAAATGCATTGAAATTTTTAGCATTTGTAACTCTTAATAAGTTCTAAAAACCCTGTAATTTACAATATTCCCAGGTTTATAGTTTTTGAGCAAATTGAGTTTGAAGTTTTTGGCAAAATTTGGACTAAACATCAACTTTGAGGCTCAATTACTCAAAAACTATTTGAGCTATTGAACTCAATTTTACACAGATTTATAGAGAATTCAATGCTCTTTCCAATGATATATAATTTATTCCGATTTGCTCAAAAATTATCAGAGAATATGGGCAATTGCTCATGACCATATCAAAATTTTGAAAATTTTTTAGAGCCAAAAATAGGATTTCCTTTTTAATTTTTTTTTTCAACTTAAAATGGCCATTTGGCAATCATGTCAGGATTGTTCTCCACTAATTTTGACCCGCTCTATCGATTGGTAAAGTCAAAATTGAGCAAAACTGGAAAATAAAAAAATCGAGTTTTTCACAAGGGTTTCTTGAATTCTGATTTCAAAATATTCAAACCTCAATTGCTCGGTAACCGTTGAACAAATTGCATTGACATTTTTAGCATCTGATGTAGCTCTCAATAAGCTCTAAAAACCCTGTAATTTACAATATTTTCAGGTTTATAGTTTTTGAGCAAATTGAGTTTGAAGGTTTTGACAAAATTTGGACTAAAAATCAACTTTGAGGCTCAATCACTCAAAAACTATTTGAGCCATCAAACTCAATTTTGCACAGATTTATAGAGAATTTAATGCTCTTTTCAATGATATATAATTTATTTCAATTTGCTCGAAATTTATTAAAGATAATGGCAATTGCTCATGATCATATCAAGATTTTGAAAATTTTCCGGAGCCAAAAATTGGATTTCCTTTTTTAATTTTTTTTTTTCAGCTTAAAATGGCCATTTGGAAATCATGTCAGGATTGTTCTCCACTTATTTTGACCCACTTTATAGATTGATAAAGTCAAAATTAAGCAGAACTAAAAAATATGAAAAAAGAGTTTTTTATGAAGGGTAGCCCCTTTGAATTTTTAATTCCAAAATCTTCAAACCCCAATTGCTCGGTAACCGTTGAACAAATTGCATTGAACTTTTTAGCATCTGTAGCTCTCAATAAGCTCTAAAAACCCTGTAATTTACAATATTCCCAGGTTTATAGTTTTTGAGCAAATTGAGTTTGAAGTTTTTGGCAAAATTTGGACTAAAAATCCACTTTGGGGCTCAATTATTACTCAAAAACTATTTGAGCTATTAAACTCAATTTTGCATAGATTTATAGAGAATTTATTGCTCTTTCCAATGATATATAATTTATTTCAGTTTGCTCAAATAACCAACGAAGATCTGGGCAATTATTTCTAGCCGCGTTTGAAAAACTTTTTACTTGTTCTTCAAGTACTTTCGTAATATACTTGTTCCGGCTCTGACTTGGACTGTGTCAACCTGAGCTTATGGATGCCGGAGTTCTAATTTTTAGGAAATTAATAATTTTTTATTCCTTCCTCTTATCATATAAAAATATGTTTAACCTGTAGCTGGTTTTGATAAGAAAAAATTGCCCAACTGCTCAATGTTCTTCAACTTACCTTCTTAAACACAAATCAGTTCATATTATTATGTACACAATTTAATTTATATTTTTTATTTCAGGTGAAGAAAGACTACAAAATGCAGCATCATTTGTGTATAATGCAATAAACAACTATATGTCTCTGAATGGAGAAACATGAAAAAGATCTTCAAAAGGTCAGAAGCATAAGGAAAAATATGCCAAAAAAGTGCCAAAACTTACTTAAAAACTAATTTATTGATCAATCATTATTTAACTGAATAGAAATTTTGTAATAAACCGCATTAAACTAAATACTTTTTGTTTTGTAAAGCTCCAGAGAAAAAAAACCTAATGAACAAAGCCCAAACAAACAAACAAGTTAAAGTTTCTAAAATTACACATAAAAATTTAATTTCTAAAATAAAAAACTCCTCGATACTATTATAATAATAATAATAATAATTAACATTTACATTTTACTTATTTACAATTATAGAGCTATTAACAAAACATCAGGTACCAGTAACAAAATATTTTGCACTTAATTCTATTATGAATTTTTGTCACTAGGTCCATGAATGTGAGTCAACAACTTCTCTACCACTTCCTTATCTCCTAGTGAACTGTGTAAGGCTGCCAGTGAACTGGGCATCAGGCTCGTTTTCATTTTTTTACAAGAACCATTCGAATTCGTACTGCTTGTCCTATGCTTCCTTTTTTTACTCCTAAAAATTTCACCTCCACAAAAACTCAGTATTTTTTTTTCAAAATAACTATTACCGTGCCTCCTCCGTATTTTCCAAGTCACTACCAAATTCGCCGGGATCGATGTTCAATACAAATTCAAAAGGCATCACTTTAGTGTGGACAACTTGGTCCGGAGCATCATGGATTGGTAAAAGGAATTGGAGTCCGACTTTCAATAAATCCAAATTGTAATCTTCAAAAGGTTTTTTGTTTGACTTTTTCGGATCGTATTTGATGTGGAATTCATTGGTTTGCGTTTCCATTACTCTATATCCGTAAACTGATTCGTCCAATTCTGAATTATTCACCAAGTTTGATGTTCTAGCTAAAATTAAAAAAAAAAAAAACATGAATATTATATAATAATTGTCTCAAGGAGTGAAAAAAAATCATAATTCACATTATTAGGTACCTTCAGGTGCTTCATTAGATATTAATTTATTTTCAGATTCCAAAGTTTGTCTAATTTTATTATTTTCTTCTTCGATTTTGTTTAGTTCTGCCATCTGTTTCCTTGTCCTGTGCAAATTCGTGCCACTTTTTTTAAAGAATTCATCCTGCGAGTCCGTTCTATTGCTATCGTCACTGTCCTCTGAATCCTTTTGCAACTTTTTGGGCATGTTTTTTTTGCGCCTATTACTCGAAGCGTTCAAATTCGGTTTCGGATTTGCACGTCTACGACGTCCGTCCTGCGGTTTTGTTCCACCAGTTTTTTCAAGATTGATCATTCTTTTCAGTTTTTCGTCCATTTCTTTTTTGACGCTGTACGCTGTTGTCATGTGACCTACAGTATCAAAAAGGAAAATTAGTTATTTTATAAAGATATAATGAAGTGTTATTCATTTATATGCCAACAGATCACTTAAAGAATTGCAGTTGAATCTAATTTTCAGTTAGAAAATATTGTTGGTTGTGTCAGGATTAAATACTTGAGGCTGAGAAGAGAATCTATCAACAAAAAAGTGTTAGAAACTTGTTAGAAAGTTGTACATTATGCACACTAGAGAGTGCAATTTTGGGAGACCTAAAGTACAAATATGTCTGAATTATGATCTAAGAATGATGGGTAAACCACCTTGGAATTATAGTGTACAAGCATGTGGGATTGCAGTGGAATTTTGTAGGATTCTATGGAATTCTGTGGAATTCCAGTGAGATTCCTTAGTTCGCTTGATGAGTCGATATTTTGCTAGCGTTGAAAATAATTCTGAAAATTCACAAGAAATTTAATGGAATACCTCGAGGAATTCCATTGGATTCCAACAGGATTTCGTGAGATTCCAGTAGGATTCCGTGGGATTGCGTGAGATTTCATTAGGATTCCAGTGGAATTCCGTGGGATTTTGTGGGATTACAATGAGATTCCCTAGTTTGCTTGATGAGTCATGTTTTTAGTTTGTACCTATGCAGTGGCAGCTAAACTGAAAAACGAGACTTTTTTGTCCAGAGTCTTTGCTTGCTAGTGTTGAAAATAATTCTGAAAATTCACAAGAAATTTCATGGAATACCTCGAGGAATTCTATTGGATTCCAACAGGATTTCGTGAGATTCTAGTAGGATTCCGTGGGATTGCGTGAGATTTCATTAGGATTCTAGTGGAATTCCGTGGGATTTTGTGGGATTACAATGAGATTCCTTAGTTTGCTTGATAAGTCGTTTTTAGTTTGTACCTATGCAGTGGCAGCTAAACTGAAAAACGAGACTTTTTTGTCCAAAGTCTTTGCTTGCTAGCATTGAAAATAATTCTGAAAATTCACAAGAAATTTCATGGAATACCTCGATTAATTCCATTGGATTCCAACAGGATTTCGTGAGATTCCAGTAGGATTCCGTGGGATTTTGTGGGATTACAATGAGATTCCTTAGTTTGCTTGATAAGTCGTTTTTAGTTTGTACCTATGCAGTGGCACCTAAACTGAAAAACGAGACTTTTTTTGTCCAGAGTCTTTGCTTGCTAGCGTTCAAAATAATTCTAAAAATTCACAAGAAATTCCATGAAACCCCTCGAGAAATTCCATTGGATTCCATGGGTTTTCAGTAGGATACCGGGAGAATCCAGTAGGATTGCATGGAATTTTAGTAGGATTCCAGTAGAATTTTGTGGAATTCTAGTAGTATTTTGTGGGATTCCAGTAGTATTTCGTCAGATTCCGTTAAAACTGGGATTCTGGTGTACACATTTTTCAAGGTGGTTTATCCCTCGACTAATAAGAAACGAAACTATTTATTGCAGCAAGGGATTTTAGAAGAACATGTAACTTCAGTTCTGCTTATTGTAGCAATGACAGGTTAAAAGTTATCAAAAAAGATCCACATATTTTCTGTACAAATCTGTAGGTAAGAGGATCTGCAGAACTGTAAGTTTTCTAGTTGTTTCTTTTGATTAAAATTTCACAATTTAAAATGATATTTTCGATGACATCTCACTGATACTGCTACAAGCAAGTATGGTATATCTGAAATAAGTTTGTTTAATGATTCTAAGTGTGATTTTAATATTGTTCACATGAATATCTGAGTCCTGAAGATGCTTTTAAGAAATACAAAACACTCATTATTCTTTTCTTTGAATGGCCTATAATTTCCTCAATAATTCCTCCATTTAGCTAGAAACCAGTTACCAAATGCAACTATTGATGTATTAAAGCCATGTTGCCAAAAACAAAGCAAAAATCCAACCAAAACTAGTACCAGAAAAAATACTCACTTTTCAAATTTGTAGCTGAAGCTGCCTCTTTAATAGTTTCAGCCGTCATTGTGGATATTGAAATGTTAACACACTCCTTTGTTGTATCAACATTATCAGTGCCTTCTTCAACTATACCGTCCAGCTTCTTCTTATTGGCATGCTCTAATTTTGAAATTACTTCACTATCACTACTGCTACTAACCCCCTTAGCCTGCACTTTAGTTTCCAATTTTTCCCCAACATTTTCCTCCTGATTACTTTCATCTAACAACTTCGATTTTAACATAGACATACTTTTCCCAGACGATCTTCTATTATTCGGAATGACCGTATTATTAGTTTCGTCGCTGAGACTTTCCTCACTGTGATCCGCACTGCCCTCCCATGTAACATCTTCGTGAACTATTAAATCTAAATTCTTCTTTCCTACACAACGTTTATTGAATTGATCTAATATTCCTTTCCCACTGTAAACGTTTGGACTTACAACTACATCTTCATCGTCAGTCTTTCTAACACTGGATTTACGCTCTTCTGATAAAACAATAGCTTCTGTAGCTTTATTAGTTTCAGTATCGTTGAGCGTATAATAAGGAACTGAGGATGTTTCAATATTGAATGCTAATCCGGGAGTGATTGGGAAATTTGGTGTGTTAATTGAAAAATCACCATTACTTGTATAGTCTTTTAAATTTGCTTGAAGCATCTGAGTAATGGGAGTGGGTGGAATATTTGTGTCAATTGCATCCTCTTTCAGAGGAGTTTCTAGCAAACTACTAATATTTTTTCGTGCATTTGACATGAGCTGATTGGTGCCATCTTTAGAATTGTTTGGAGTTATTCCATCAAATTCCATATTTTTTTTGGTAGCAGTATTGCACAAGTTTGATGGAGATAGGATTGTTATTGGTTCAACTGCAACTTCAATTTCCTCTGCTACTTCTTCTACTTGAATCACTTCTTCTTCATTGAGTTTCTTTTTATTATCGGCTCTTGGTCTTTTTCTTGGTGTTTTGCCTTTTGATTTTGCAGTAGATTTTATGGGGGTTTTTAAAGCATTTTCTATCATTTTTGCATCTGCTTCTGTGGTATCCAACTCTGTTGATCGCGTGACGCGTTTTCTAGTCGACACTCTTCTCAATGGAGTTGATTCGTTAGCTTCCTCAGCAGCTGAAGCGAGATTTTGTCGTAAAGCTGTATCCCAAGAACTTGCAGGTTCAATAGTTTTTGCAGTCGAAGTTGGAGGTTTTTTTGTAACTGGCTTTTTGGTTTTTGTAGGTTTTTTTGGTGCATTTTTAATAAGTCTTTTGGGTGTGCTTGTTGTAGGTTTTTCAGTTTCTTCAGGGATGCTTTTGAACAAATCCTTAGTAGCTTGCTGCTTATTTAAAGCTGAAGGTAAACTTCGACCTCCATCGTCTTTTTCACCAGTCTTCTTCAATGGCGATGGAAAAGTTAAATTTCTAACATGAGAACTACTTTTTGGAGTTGGTTTTTTGGCCGCTGCAACCAATGGTGGAGGTGTATGAGCGGGATGTAAATCTTTAGGTTCAACTGGCTCTACCTTGGTTTCATTTGGAGTTGATTTTTCAGTACTCAACGGATCTGTAGCCACTAAAATAATGTCATCATCCTCAATGGTCGTATTGGCAAGATTAGGTAAGTCTTTGGAAGAAGAATTTTCTTTGGTTGGGCAACGCCCGTCACGATGGTAAATTTCAACTTTAACTGTTGGAGTTGGTTGTATCGGTTGTTTTATGGCTTTAATGATTGGACTTTGAGCAGTGGCACCAAAACTGTTTAAATAATCTTTTATGTTGTTAACTTCCGTTGATTTGTAGGGTGTGGTGTTTACAGGGACCCTGTTGGGATCTAAAAAAGATTGACATAATAGAAGCAAAAATATGGAGTGTATAAAATAATATTAATGATAATAATAATCATTTATTTCGAGGTTTATTTTGTAACTGTAATGTGGGGTGAATTTTTCGATTTTCCAATTTTCTTGACGTCAAAGATTTTGGTTTAAAATCTCAGAATTATCTAGTGCATGGAGTTTAGGGGGAGGAGATCAAATTATCATTTAAATACAAAATCTCTACATAAAAAAAAAAATTGAAATTTCATCATTTTAGTACTAAGGAAGGGATCTTATTCCAATTCTGTTATAGATAGAAAGCTGGAATTTTCAGTGAATCTTATCCTCGTGGAGGATTAAAATCCATCATTTTATCACTAAGGTAGCTACCTTATGATTTGGATTTTTAAAAACTTTGGAAACCCATAACTGTTTTCTATTATAGATAGAAAGCTGAAATTTTCAGTGTTTCTTCTCCTAGTAGAGGACTACAATCCCTGAAAATTTCAGCTCATTTGCATTTATAGTTGCTGAGATAAAATCGTGTTAAGCAATTTGGGGTAATTTATCAATTTTTCAATTTTTCTGAGTGCCTTTTTTCATAGATTTCGGTTTCAAATCTGAGAATAATTTAGTGTATGGAGTTTGGGGGATCTTAATTGACCATTAGGATACAAAATCTCAACAAAAAAAATTTGAAATTTTATTGTTTCCGTAAGAAGGACCCGAGGAAGGACCTTATGATTTAGATTTTGGAAAACTTTGGAAGAGTATAACTTTTTTTCTATTATAGATAGAAAGCTGAAATTTTCACTGAAATTTATCTCGATAAAGGGACTACAATCCCTGAAAATTTCAGCTCATTTGCACTTATAGTTCCTGAGATAAAATCGTGTTAAGCAATTTGGGGTGATTTATCAATTTTTCAGAGTGCCTTTTTTCATAGATTTCGGCTTCAAATCTGAGAATAATTTAGTGTATGGAGTTTAGGGGGTCCCAACTGATTTAGCAACTAATCTTACAAATGCAAAATTTCAACATAATAAAAATTTGAAATTTCATAATTTTAGTAGGTATCTACTATGTACTACCTTATGATTTGGATTTTCAAGAACTTTGAAGACCCATAACTTTTTTTCTATTACAGATAAAAAGCTGAAATTTTCAGCGATTCTTATCCCAGTGGAGGACTACAATCCCTAAAAATTTCAGATCATTTGGACTCATAGTTCCAGAAATAAGATCGCGTTAAGCAATATGGAGCGAATTTTTCAATTTTCCTTACATCATTTTTTCAAAGATTTGGGCTTCAAGTCTCAGAATTATCTAGAATTATGATCATGAATTATGTCATCATCATCACTCGAGTCATCACTATTTTCAGATTCTACTGAGAGATTTTTTTTCTAATCAATAATTATTGTCAGTTTATGTGAATCTAATATGGTTCATTTCTAATGTGTTTCCGGGAAATAATCTTGCTCTAATTCTGTTTCTGTTTTTGATACACAAAGTTCACTATTTCCATTTACCACGATATTTGGGAAAGGAATTATCTATACCTTTTTATTTTTTACTATAACAAGTTTCTATAGTTGCTACATTTACTTACCAACATATTGCATTTCATTTTTCTCATTCAAAATTATTGTAGGCATAGCCATAATATCCATCTCAGACAGTTTATTTGTTTTTCCTTTTTTCTGTTTGGGTGCCTGAACAATTTGCATCATTTGGACCTGAGGCTGTATTGATGGCACCACTAAAGGCCTGTTAACAAAAATATATTGCTGCTGCTGTTGTTCCGCCGAAATTGCGTAAATTTGCCCTTGATACATTTGCTGACTATCAATTGCCATTGGAATATTTGTTGGTACTGTTTGCACCATTTGTGGCTGATTTATGACTTGAGAATTAGGTGTGTGTTGAGAATAAGGAGTGACTTGAGAAGTAGGAGTGACTTGAGAAGTAGGAGTGACTTGATAAGTTTGTTGCGTAGATGTCACTTGTGGTGTATCAGTTGATGAGGATGCAGCATCTTGATTGGTTGGTTTATCTGTATTAGACACTGCTAATATTGATGAAATGGCACCATTGTTATGCTCTTCTACGTTTTTGTATTTTTCTTGTGATGTTGAGTGTTTAATGCTACAACAAAATATACCTGTTATATAATGGAAATTAAATTCAAAAAATCAATTACCTAGTTGTTATGGCAGCAGCTTCAGCTGTTATGGCTTTTCCAAAACTATTGCTTAGTGGTTCTGCAAATGCAAACAAAAATATTCTTTTTTAGTATTGACTATTTAATTCTAAAGTTAACCTACCCAACAAATCGTCCAACAAACCTTCAAATATTGAATCTTGCTCAGTCCTGTTCAGTGCTTGTTGGATAGTATTTTCCAATTCGGCATTTCCATCTTTGCTAACTGGTACATTTGGTGTGTTTAACACAGCATTAATGTTCTCAGCTAACTTTGTATGAAATTGTGTCTTGTTAAGGAGCGTCTGTGACATGACCTGGAAAAACAGTCTATAGTAAAAATTGTATACTTATTAGATTAAATCTAGGCTTACAGATGTTACAAATTCATGACTAGAAGCAGGTAGGTTTTCTGAATATGGCGTCTTGAGATTATTAAAAGGTGTCTGCGAATTTGAATAGTTACTGGGAGTATTTCCCGGCAATGTATGCTCAGGGGTAGTTTCAACGTCACTAAAATGTTCCTCATTGCCATAGTCAGCAAGTGAAGACTCACATGGTGATCTAAAATAATTATTTTTTCAAACAATTTCCTAATAAGTAAAAATTCAGTTATATACCTATCACGGATAGTTGTTGTTGGTGTTGCAAGTTGCCTTCTTCTGTCCAACAAATATAGCAATTGTTCAGCGAGGTACATTGGCGAAGCCCCATCATGTTCCTTGTAGTAATCTGTATACTCAAGGCGTGTCTGGACTAAAATAAGAGGAATCAGCATGTGAAAACTTGGAGCTGTAGCCAAACATACCAATTTCTTGTACTTGAGAATATATCCTCAAAATATCTTCTAGAGTTTGTCCAGCTACTCTGGTACCCAAGTGCTTTGATGGACTTGGAAAATTAGTTCTTAAAAATGTCTTGTAGGAACTTTTACATCTGGTTTTAAGGTAACCTGAAATTAATGATGGATTTTATGTATCTATTTGCAATGGAAGAAATTAATTTGTGTTAATCGAATAATCGAATATATAAATGCATAATTATTATGATCAATTTTAAAAATACCAATGCTAAGAAACAGGTGCATACATAAATTGCGCCAAAAAGTTAAAATGATGCTGCTTTGCTTACCCAACACCAATTTATTAATGTGTTTTTCGTACTCCATCGTATTTGAATTTGGTTCCTTTGGCACAATAACATCAGCACTTTCACAATGTTTTTAAAATGTATTACAAAATCTTCTAAATAAACAGGTTTTTATTACAAAATTAAAATAAAAATCAGTTTGAAAATGGAACACAAACAAAAGGGATGCCATAATGACAGACTGTCTGTAAACTGTCAGTGAGTGAAAAATCACCCCAGACATTTTTCGTTAACTGGAATATATCTATCTTTTTCTTTCTTGTTGAATAGAGTAGCGAATTATATTTGTTGCGAGTGACTGAATAAAAAAAAAGGTGAACGTAAACATAACCTTACAAAACAAACTACTTTTTTCCGTATTTGATCTGATTATTTTGCAGACTTTTTTGTTGGAAAAAATACACTTTATTAGATAAAAATTCATATATATTTTGAAAAGACACTGAAGAGGATCATTGACGAACCCTTTAACGCATATTACTATTCTACAAATAAACAAAATAAGTAAGTTTTACAGTTTTTGTATTTTGTATTATATACTTTTTAGGGAATTTATCTGGGAATTTATTCAAATATAGGTACTTACCAAGGGTAATTACCTTAGTACTTAAATTAATCAAGTACAGAGTGTTCTAGTTTTTTTTTGAGAGTCCTAGGTCTCCAAGGGGTGCTGTAATGAGTTCGACTGGCCTTATAGATATGCTGTGCTTATAGTGTAGTAGAAAAATATACAGGGAGACAATTTGAAAAGTAGCAATCGGGAATATCTCTTAGACAAAAAATACTATCAGGAAGATTTCAAATACGTATCGGAGGATTCGAGGGGAACCAAAAAGAAGCACTTTTTGAGTCACCCCGCCTCCCGACTAGTGTTGTAAAATTCTCGGTAATTTTCGAACGTTACCGAACTTTCGGGAATGTTTGGGAATTTTCGAGAATCTATGAGAACTTTGGAGAATGTTGCAAAAGCACCTAAAAATTCGGATTTTTAATGTAGGGCTTGTAAAAATGTCTATCAATAATGAAGTTTCACTAAATTTCCCTATTTTTCTTTTCTCTGTTAGGGTTGGGGTAGGTGAATTTTCCATAAATGTTGATATAATGCTTGTCTAAGTAGGTATTATTAATTTATAAAACTAATACAAGTCTTGTTTCTTGTAAGTTGGCGTAATAAAAACCAACTAAAAAACAAGCTAGATGTAGGTAGCAGTGGTAGCACCAAAAAATGAAACTCAAAAATCTTCAAATGCAAATACCTACATAACATAACTACAAAAAGTGTTAAGTCAAAACAAAAAATAATATAAAAAAATAAGGTAAAAGTGCAGTATAGTCCGGTCACCTAAAATAGCATTTTTTTGAATAAGAATCGTTTGTTTAACGTTCAAATAGTGCATTTTGAAGAAAATTTTCCAGCGGAAATCTCTAATTTAAAAATTACAAATTAAAATCATATTGAAAATACCTACTCGAAAAAATGGGTATTTTAGGTGACCGGGCTATACTGCACTTTATCCCCTAAATAAATATGCAGTATAGCCCGGTCACCTAGAATGTTTTTTTTTCCATTAAAATTTGTTTGTTAAACATCCAAATAGTGCATTTCAAAGAAAATTTTTCACCGGAAATCTGAAAATCTTTAATTGAAAAATTACAAATTAAAATTGTACTGAAAATACTATTTATTTGTAACCGAGCTATAATGCACTTTTTCCCTAAATAAATATGCAGTATAGCCCGGAAACCTAAAGAGTTTTTTATTTAATTAAGAAAATGCAGATTAAATCAAACTAACTCTTACTAACCCGTCCGTATAGTGCTAGCTAGTCCGCAGAAGTAAAATACTGTTTATTTGTAACTGACCTATACTGCACTTTCGGCCCTAAATAAATATGCAGTAGGGGAGAGTGGGACAACTTCGACATGTTAAGGTTTGCAAGATTTTAAAAAAAAATTGTATTTACAGAAATAAACAGAACTTTATTTAAACATAGTGATAACATATCTTTAGTAGGTAGGCATTTTAAACCAATATCGTATAAATTCTAAGAATTTATTGTCAGTGTAATTTTTCAATTAAAAATTTCCTTTAGAAAATTTTATTTAAAATTCACTATTTGGATGTTAAACAAACGATTTTGAATTTAAAAAAAATATTTTGGTGACCGGGCTCTACCTACTGCATATTTATTTAGGGGGTAAAGAGCAGTAGTATAGGTTGGTTAAAAATAAACAGTATTTCACTTATGCAGACTACTAGCACCAAGACTAGCACTATACGGACGGGTTAGTAAGGGTTAGTTTGGGTTAATCTGCATTTTCTTAATTAAATAAAAAACTCTTTAGGTGACCAGCTATACTGCATTTTTATTTAGGGGAAAAAGTGCATTATAGCTCGGTTGCAAATAAAAAGTATTTTCAGTACAATTTTAATTTTTAACTTTTCAATTGAAGATTTCCGCTGAAACATTCACTTCAAAATGCTTTATTTCAACGTTAAACAAACGATTCTTATTCAAAAAAATACTATTTTAGGTGACCGGGCTATACTGCATATTTATTTAGGGGATAAAGTGCAGTATAGCCCGGTCACCTAAAATTAAAAAAAATTGAATATTTTCAATATAATTTTAATTTGTAATTTTTGAATTAAAGATTTCCGCTAGAAAATTTTCTTCAAAATGCCCTATTTGAACGTTTAATAAAAACGATTCTTATTCAAAAAAAATACCATTTTAGGTGACCGGGCTATACTGCATATTTATTTAGGGGATAAAGTGCAATATAGCCCGGTCATCTAAAATACCTATTTTTTTGAGTATTTTCAATATAATTTTAATTTGTAATTTTTAAATTAAAGATTTCCGCTGGAAAATTTTCTTCAAAATGCACTATTTGAACGTTAAACAAACGATTCTTATTCAAAAAAATACCATTTTAGGTGACCGGGCTATACTGCATATTTACCAAAAATAAATTTAAAAATAAAAATAGGAACTCTAAAAAAAGGAACTTAAAAAACGAACTTTTTGTAGGTAATGGTAATAACCTCGGTAATAACACAAGTATGTAGTTATGAAATAAAAAAATAAAATATCTAATAGCAAAAATATTCAGAAATCAGGGTCCATGTCCATGATTCAACGGTAGTTACGGTAACGTTTAGAAATGCATTTTCAGCGAACTTTCACATAGAAAGGAGCGAACATTACCGTAAATTATGGTAATAGTGCGAACGTTCGCTCGGTAAAGTTCGCTTGTTACAACACTAGTAGCTACCCTAACGTATTTTTTTTTAAAATAAGAACCTACCTTGTGTTGTACATCGTTGGATAGCTTGTTGCTTTCCCTTTACAGTCTTATAGTAAAATCTTAAATTGTACGATTAGATATCGCTGTTTAAAAGTAAGCACATTTTGAAAACTAGTAATTTGGACTATCTTTGAGTAGTAGTAGTAGTAGTACTCTACCTTACTGAACTCTCTATCTTAATGATCCATAATTGTAAATTGTCAATATTTGAAACACAACAAGTATTAACAAACTACTGAAGAGTTTTTGATTAGCTAGCCAGTCTGCCGGAGGGTACTGAGGTCCCATACAAGATGCTACCCAGCTATAGTTGTTATTTTGAGCCAATATCTCTTTCCTTTGTTTGGTAGGATTTTCGCCCGTCAGGGTGGGAAAATGTTAGTAAATTCAACAAGGCCCTAATGCACGCTGTGAATATACAAAATCAATATCTCAGCACAAAAAGACAGCACCTAATTTCTTAGGTTATAATTTACTTCTTTATCTGTGTTGTTTACAGCATGAAACGATTTTTGTTAAATACATGAACAATGCACATCTTAGAAAAATTGTTATAGACAAACAAAAAAACATAAAAATGAACAAAATAATAGGTATTTGCATAAATTAAACTCTCAAAAATAAAATAACAATTATTTAACTGACCTGTGATCACTCCTTGACACACACACTATTCACATATTGGATTGAACAATCAGTTTAATACAAAATAAAAATAAAAATTGAATATTGAACAATGGCGGACAAAACCTTGAGGGACCAACCCAGCCGCTTCTTCTCTAGTCTAGCCGCTTTTTTCTTCTCAATGCTTCTACCTACCCTTCGCTTCGGTACTTTCGTTTTCTGTGGCGCGCCCCGTTCAAACCTAAACTTGACGGCGCATACATGGTTGCAACATTTACTTTTATTCAGTAAACGTTTTTTGAAAAAGTTAAGATTTGAAGAAATAATATTTTAAATAGGTGGTTTTCTTCAAACTGATGCGATATAATAAGGAAGAACGTTAGTAAGACGTCGCTAAGACTGTCGTCGGCTGGACGTCCAAAACATGTCTTCCTCGATGTCTTCAGTACGACGTTCTATTCTGGACAAAAGTCGTATGAGACCAAAGTGGTCCAAAATTGGACGTCCTTTTGATGACACACTGGTCATTGTGGTAAGCTGTGGTCTCTCCAAACAGTGAAAATTAAAAAGATTCCTGAGTCTACTTATCTAATCAATTTTCCCTTAATTTCTGCTTTCCGATTCTCAGTTTTCTTATCTAAATGTTTGTCTATTCCCAGTTCTTGAATTGCTTTCTTCGGAATACCTCCAAACAGAAAAAATTCAAAAGCCTTAAATAGGAAATAATAGCATACCTACTCATTATGTCTACTCTATTGGACTAGGACCTAGGGAATTTAGACCTCTGGATTCCCTAGGGATTGACCTTTTCCCTGGTTCACGCAGTTTGTCAGCGGATTGATCAATCTCATCCTTATCTGGAAGTTCATTTAGTCAATCTTTCCTCTCTAAACTATCTGGGAAAGCTTAAGCTTTCACTCTATATCAGAGAATACCTAGGCAAACCCATTAAATCTGTGAGAGAGTCGAATGATGATTTTCTTCCCACAGATACTTCTGCTTTTTAGAAATTTTCATTAAATTTCTTCTCTAAATTTCTGAATTTTTCCGTTTTAATATGTGTCTATTTCCGGCTCTTGAACTGTTCCTTCTAAATATCTCTACATAAAAATACATTTTATTGGAAATATATCTTCCGAGTGCAGTGACGAGCAGATTACGAAACACCTCATTGCAAACAACATCTCGCCACTTAGTTGTGAAAAATTAAGCAAGCGCGACGATCTTCAAACTTGTTTTAAGATCTCCGTAGGCCCTCATGCGACCAATGCGATCCTGGACTGTGCCATTTGGCTAGTCAATGTTGTTGTGAAGCCATTTGTGTTCCATAATGGAAGACGACATGCGAATTCACGGAATTTTCGCCGACAGTATCACAGCAGGAAGAGATTTCGCCAATACTTGTGAATGAAGGACCAAATCCTGTTAATAAAAACTCCTTTACCATTATCTATCAAAATGTGAGAGGTTTCAACTCTAAGTTTAGTGAATTCTGTGGTAACGTGTGGGCTACATCAGGTGAATATGAAGTAATAATTGTCTTGAGCGAAACATGCTGCATAATAGTGTAAATGATTACTGTTTTTAGAAAAAAACGTGTCAATGAAACCAATTGTAGATCTAGAGGGGGGCGGTGTTTTGAATTTTTGATAGCTACCAAAAATAGGTATGATGTCCAAATAATAGATACAAATTTGAGGGATGATGATATAGATCTTGTAGGGATTAGGTTAAATCTAATGGCGTTTCCGATTCGTAGATTCAGTGCGCACTGAGTGCAATTGCATCTTTTTAATTGACCTGTAGAAGAAAAAGACAGAAATAGAAAAAATTGCACTAGTTCCGCACTAGATCTACCAATCGGAAACGCCATAAAGTAAATATAACTGCATATATATTTTTGCGGTGTATGTCACGCCCACCCACCTGTGCTCTCCAGTCTTATGAAAGATTGTATGACTTTTTGGAAGTACAGTCTCACCTTTTCAACTCCAACTTTATTATAGTGGGAGATTTAAATTTATCATACTTAAAAACACATTATGAGACTGGAAAACTGATAAATTTGTGGAAAATTTTATACGATTTCTAAATTTTTATGATGTTAGTCAATTTAATCAGGTAGTTAATCATATGAATCGCCTGTTGGATGTTGTTGTTACGGGGGTAGACTGCCATGTACTTCAGAGTGGCTCTAGTCTGGTATCTGAGGACAAACATCACCCTACTCTGAAAATTAATTTGAATATACAACATTGTAGGGTAAAAAAATTGAATTCTAATGCTTCGTTCTATAATTTTCGAAAGGCTCTACTATAGCTTTTTAAGTACAGATTGGTCGTTTCTCGAGACCCATGCCGATATTATTGAGGCTGTTAATGATTTTTATGATAAAATCTATAATATTTTTGAAATGCACATTCCTAGAACTAAACAGAAATCAAAACAATATCCCACTTGGTTTACCAGGCCAATTAATTGTTAGTAAAATTCTCGGTAAAATTAAAAAAAAAAAAAATATATACAACAAATCTAAAGAAATCGCCACATATTTGATGTTTAAAAAGGTAAGAGTGGAAGTAAAGGATGATATAAAAAAAAGCTGATTATGTATTTGAATATAATACAAAATAATATTAGTACGGATTCATGTTCCCTCATATTTCCAATAAAATGTTTTTGAATGGTAAAGAATTTAAGTAGAAACGGTGAAGAAATCTGTAATGCATTTGCAGAATATTTTGGCAGTGTATATTCACATTACATGGAAAGTAATCCTAACATGTTGCAATGTGTTAGCTCTCCAACGATATTGCTGAATAATCTTGGAATAAGTGACGTCTTGGAATCCCTAAAACATCTGAAGACTGGCAAAGCCGTCGGGCCTGATGGTATTCCATCATTTATAAGGGCCTTCAAGAAATAATGTCTCATCCTTTGTTAATCCTGTTTAACTTAAGCCTTCAAACTAACACATTTCCAGATGAACGGAAAAAAGCGAAAGTTTGTCCAATTGTTAAAAAAGGAGATAAATCGGATATTTCTAATTATCGTCCGATTGCCGTGTTGTCAACGCCTGCCAAGATGTTCGAGTCAATTATTCATAAGTATATTTATTCATCATTGCAGCAGAACATATCAATTCATCAACACGGTTTTATGATGCACAGGTCTAGTGTAAGCAATTTACACAGAATATTTCAGATGTTTTAAATTAGCATGGCCACATGGATGTTGTCTATACGGATTCCGAAAAGACGTTTGATAGAGTTTCTTTCGTGATATTGATTGAAAAATTAGAAAGGGAGCTTGGATTCCATTTCAACATTGAGTTTTTCAAAACTTATCTGTATAACCGTCAGCATAACGTCGATAAAGGGCAATCTTGTCAGGAATACAGGGTCATTGCAGAGTCCGTTCGTTGCTTTGTATAAATCGTGCATGCAAGTTATGAGTCTACGGTTCTGTAAAGTTTCCAAACCATATCTGTCACAAAGCGAAGATGATGCTCTATTGAAATCATAGACACCCACCTCTCTACTCTAATATGTTTCGTATATAAGATAAGTATAATTATCTCAAACATTGCAGGTTCTTGAAAACCCTGGTATTCCTCACAATAAAATCATACATCCTACAAGCCCTACTCTCAACATCAGCCACATGAGCATTAAACATCATTCCAGAATCAAATATTACCCCTAGATCCTTAATTTCAGTGATGCGAGAAAGTGGGAAACCATGGATCGCATATGCAAAATTTATGGGTTTCAGTTTCCTAGTATATGTAACAAAAAAATATTTATTTACATTAAAATAAAGCTATCATTCGGTAACATTATCTATATCGGCCTGCAGTCATGCAATCGTTGGCGTTTTTGATCTCATAATAAATTTTTAAGTCGTCTGCAAACATCAAAATTGAAGCACTTTGGACCACCTCAGTTATACTGTTAATGTATAAAAGAAAGAAAAGTGGTCCAAGATTGGATCCCTGTGGTATGCCTGAAGTTGGCTTAAAGGGATGTAAGTTCTTCAATGTCCCGGTTCATCATACTAGAAATCCCGTTACTTTTTAGTTTTTACATACCTGATGTAGCCCATAACAACCATCAGTTAGGATCACCTTTGTGGAATAGAAACAACATACTTAAGTCTACTTATCTACTCGATTTTCCCTAAATTTTTACTTTTCAATTCAATCTTCAAAGTTTTCTGTCTAAATTTTTGTCTATTGCCTGCTCTTGAATTGTTTATTTCTAAATATCTCTACATAAAGAAAATTCTAGGGTCTGGAATAGAAACAACATATAGGTACTTGAGTATACTTATCTACTCCATTTTCCCTTGATGTCTGCCTTTCAATTGTTAAATTTTTGTCTATTCTCGGCTCTTTAAGAACTTTTTAATAGATAGAGAACATTGGATGTTAGCGAATACAGTTTCAATACAAAAACAGATCTGCGAAAAATTCGTCTGATCCAAATTCATTTCAAACATTTAAAATGCTGGAGGATATTTTCCGGCAGAGGTCTTTCTTCCTATTCCAACAAACATCTCAAGCAGCAAAGGTTAGTCGTTAATCGTTATGGCGTTGATTTTACATAGATTTACGTCGATTAACCAAAATTTAACGTCGGAAAGAGGTTGCAAAATATGACTTGTTTAGGACGTCACGTAGTGGACGTTTTTTTGACCATGACATGAACCAACAGGTTTAAGAGTTACCATGTAAAACCCAATGTGACCCATTCAGAAAAAAAATATCCTGTATTAAGACGTCTATGAAGCGACCATTTGACGTCATTGAATTGGAGGTATATTTGGTCAGTGTGGATCGAATGAAAAGTTATATATCTACATACTAATAAAAAAATGATAATTGTTTTGCACTGAGTAGTTTTGGTTATTTTTGCCACTTGAATTATGATTATTCTCAAAAGGATTTGTTCATCTCAATATCATTATACCTAATTGATGAATCATCACTGAAATGAGAAAAAAAGGGACTAGGGTAATTGAAACAAGCTATTGCACCTTTCTTTTCTTATGTATTTCTATTTCTATATTCGTCATTCAACTATTCGACTATTGTGAAGGAATAAGCTATTAAAAAATAATAACCAATCTTTGATCCTAACTGCCCTTCAAATCAGAATTTTGGTAAGCTACTTCTAGTTAAGCATGTTTGGTATTAGACTTTAAGCATTTGGCTGTAGATGTTTTCAATAACTTCATCTTAACAATTGAAGTTGCGTTTCACTGATATCCAGGGCAACAAATCGTGGTTTGATTATTTCTTTTTGGTAATTGGTGTCCCCCGGGGAAGCCGTCCGCCATAATAGGTTAGGATCCCATTTGTTACACGATTATACTATTAAAGATAAGTGTAGCAGTGGGGCACTACCGAATACCGGCGAGAAATGGTTGAATTGTGATTTGCTGTTGGGTGTCAGCTGCACAACGTGATTTCCAGCGAATTCAGTCTAATGGGGCTTTAATAGAATAGCTGAATGCTTTTCAACTTTGCCAAATTGTTTTTGTGTTTTCCAGATGAAGAGTCAAGTGATCATGTTCTATATTGTAGCTGAAATGAATTGGTCACGCTTCTAAAGAGGAATAAAAAACCTTTCAAAGGAGGTAGTTTCTCATTTTAGAAAAATCATTAGGGGGCAAGCCTCCAAGACAGTTAAGGCGATAAACACATTTGGTTTCTCCGATGTGTATTTGACACTTTTATGACACAATTCTTTTTTCTAAGAAATAGGTAGTGAAGAAAAGCAAGGAGCTATCCAATGATGTGCAACACCAGGTAGGTTCGTATTTAAGAAAAATAAGTTAAGAGTAGCTTTCCCCTAACAGGTGAGGCGGGGTGAATCAAAAAGTGCCTCATTTTGGTTCCCCGATACGTATTTGAGATTTTCCTCATAGCATTTTTTGTCTAAGAGTTATTCTCGATTGCTACTTTACAAATTGTCATCCTGTATATGTACACAATTATATTATCATTATCAATAATTATAGAACCTTCTCCAATTTCAAATAAGGGTTGACGCTCTGGTTGACGACCTTCTATTCTTCATCCATAATCCAACAGATCCTGTATTTTTAAAATTAATCTATTTCCATTATTTCAGGCTTGTAAACCAATACGATGGATGAAACTTCTGATGAAATTAAAATGTGGACATTTCTGGATAAAGCCATAGCAGAAACGAGAGATGTACAAAAACTAAACAGTCTCCTTGATATAAAGCTAGGCAGCTCGCACAAATCAAATAAACTACATTTTGAATCTGATTTTGTATTAGAAATTATCAAGAATAATGATTATGAGCTTTTAAAGAAAATCTCCTGTGTGTGCGACACAGATGATCATTCCATAATATTCAAAACCGTAATTGATTTCATTAACACCACAAAAAACGATATCAAATATCAACTTACAATTATCAATCTTTTACATTTTTTATTCAAATCTTTTGAAACTAAAATATTTGAAAATTTAAGCCCTAAATTTATATATAACTTTTTAATAGCTAGTCTAAATATTCCAGAAAGCAAATCGAAAGCTTTCGAAACTTTAACATTATACTTCCAAATATTTTCAGTATCTGAAAAAATACTATGCCTCAATAAGGTATTTGAATTTTCAATGGCAAACAACAACTTGGACATATTTTGTGCTCTATTGAATGCCACTGATAAGCAAGTAATGAACGACGAAAATTGTTGCTTCAATATTGAAAATAGCAATTTTTGGAATTACATAGAATCATGCATATCAAATCAGAAGTCGCACTTACAAAAACAAGGCGGATACGTTTTAGCTAAATATACTGATTCAAATGATGAATCTTGGAAGGCTTTTTTTATTTTAATTGATGTTGGAAGGGAGAAACAATTACATTTAATTGGCCCTTCGTTAAATCTATTTAAATACATTAAAGGTTTGCCATTTTTATGGCAAAAGTGTGTTTATAAAATTTATCTAGAGCACACACAAACTACTATAGTTTATCAAGTGGCTATTGAAATGTTAAAGCAATCATATCTTGAAGAAAATCTTAAAGAAATATTCAGAATATTATTTCCGGCTATTAATAAAAATGAATATTCGTATTTGTCAAATGAAATGTTTGAAGGTTTACATGATTTTTGTTTGAAATTAAACAAAAATCAACTGGAAATTGTTGCTAAAGAGTTAATTGCTGTTTCGTGGAATAGTGTGAGCTTTTGGAAAGTTATTCAAAGTGTATTTGACAATAAGGCTAGCGAAAAAATAAATTTATATCAAGAAGTTATTAGTTGTGCTGCTAATCTTACAAATGTTTTTATTAGACATACAAGTATTCAATTTTTAATTAAATCATTTTGGGACGAAACTAATTATGAAAAATTAATCAAAATTGGTTCTTGTTGTTTTGAATTAACCAAACATAATAATTTTGATTATCTGCAAGACTGTAAAGTCTCCTTAAAAGTTTTGTTTATGTTTAAAGATGATCCAAAGAAAATTAATCACTTGAAAATATGGAAACAATGTCGAAATTATTTGTCAGATTATGAACTGGGAACTGTTTTAGTTGATTTTTATATGACACATTTAGATGCTGATAATTGTGATTTGTTTATAAATTTATTTGTAAATGCATCAATTGAATCACAATCATTGAATGCAATAATTATTCATGAGCCACTTTTTGCACCTCAAAATTATAATCAATATCAATTATATGCTTCATTAGCTTTAGCAAGGTCGGGAATAGATATAAAAATTCACAAGAATAAGGAGGCGATTATTATTAGATACAATGATAAGGCTGTAATTGAAGTGAAAGATTTCGGTATTTGTAATGCATGTCTTGTTGATATTATTTTTAAATGGTATCCAAATTATGAGGATCCGGTTTTTGTTGAAATTGTAACACATATAGTAAAATCCCAAGGGAATAAAGTTTTATGTTATTTATATGGAAAACTGAAAAGTTTACTTGAATTTACCACAAGTGAGAATCTAGTCGTTCATTTTATTAATTTATTTTACCAAAATCTATTACAAATAAAACGAGATCAATATTTTAAAACTATTGCAATTAAATTCATTGAAGCCTTATTATGTTCCTCGCATTATTTTTCAACATATAGTTTTCTTCAGACAAATTATTATAGTTTAGTTGAATTTTCTAAATCGTCTTCCTTAATAAGATTAAGCTGGTTACAAAATATAAGGAAGTTGTATAGTAATGACAAAGAAGTGTGTTTGAATGAAACATTTTTGGAATACATATGGCCAATATATATGCAAGGAATGAAGATAACTAAAGATGAAAGGTAACTAGTTTTTATGTACAGTCAAACTCAAATCTGACCCTTTCATCTGATTGAGATAAATCCAAAGCATCTCTTGCACAATCCATGCATGTTTTAGTGTTTCCCATCTGCTTTCATTTTTTTTTTTGGAGTTGGAATCTTCATTGTCATCTGCAACTAGACCTGAGTTTGTATTATAAATAAATTTTCTAGAACTGAATTCAATCTTTGTCAAGAGTTTATCTGCAATGGAGATGTTAAAAAAATAGAAGAATATGGAGAATTTTCAAAGTAAGTAGCCAATTGAATTGATAATATTTCAATTCATTTTTAATCCATTTCAGCCCTAATTTACTTAATGCAACATCAAGGCTGTCAGCGATTAATATTTTAGTTGATTTTGCTGGGAAAGCATCTGAAATATTTATTAATTATGTGCTTGAGAAATTCAACAAATATTACAAGAAGCGTTATTTTCCTGATTCAGCGATTCACTATGAAAAGTTACGTATTATCCAGATTCTCCTATGGATTGTGATTGAGACCCGTGAGAAAGTACCAAAAAAACTACTAGAAGTCTTACGTACTTTTGTATTTAATTGTTTTCAAGAGGAAACCAATCAAAATTGTATTAAGCAACTTTTAAATTGGCTTCTGATATTGGCCTCAGACAATGTTGGAACGGGTAAAGTAATTAGGGAGTGTGCAACTTGATAAATAATAAACATTTTTTTTTTTTAGTGTTTGACTGGATTGACAAAAACGTTCCCAATTTATCTTCATCAGTTTTAATTAATGTAATGCCAGCAATATATCATTTGGCTTTAACTGATGATAATGAAGAATCTTTGGAAAAAACTATTAAAATGTTACTACCTTGGACTATGGGTGCTCAATTAAAACTACGCGTCTATGCTCAAGACATAATAAGTAGAATCTTTAAATATGCTCAACAAAAAAACTACAAACATCTTCTGGACAAACATAATTCTTTGCAAATTTGCATTGCTACCTGCATCGAATCAACTGGTGATATTTTTGAAAATACTTTGAAAACAGATTTAGTTTTCCTGGAATATTTTAATCCAGTCACGGACAAGACATATCCAACTGTATTTTATGATATTCCTAGATTAAATAGAGTGAATCCAACAGAGTGGATGAATTTGAACAAATGCCCTTCTGCTACTTTTTCAAATGCAGTTGATACATTTTTAAGCAAAAACCAACCCTTGATCAACCCTACCAGTCAATTAACTCTAGCAGATCCTACAATGCACATTCAAAAAAAAATCACCCCCTGGAAAAGTGCACTGGAAAACTCTCAAACCGCTCCAATCACAACCGACTTTATACTTGTAGCTTCGCTAATAGAAAAATCCCAAAACTTGGGTGGACTTTCCAGGACCTGTGAAGTTTTCGGACTGCAAACTTTGGTATTTAACAATGCAAAAATCGTAGAAGATAAGGAATTTAAAAGTTTGAGCATGTCATCCGAGGGCTGGATAAATGCTGTTGAAGTTAAAGTCCAGGATTTGAGGGATTATGTTTTGAGTTTGCAGAAAGATGGGTATTTTGTTGTGGGCGCCGAACAAACAGCTGGTAGTAAGAAGTTGAACGAATTTCGATTTCCACGTAAAATGGCGTTGGTTTTAGGGTAAGTGAATTCTTTTTTCCACTGTATGGTCATAAATTGCACAATAATTGAATTAAAAATTCTGGATGAGTTCAAGGTGTTGTACAAACTACTTTTTTTTCTAGAAATGAGAAAACTGGCATTCCACCAGATCTAATTCCATTACTAGATGTTTGCTTGGAAATTCCACAATTCGGTGTAACCCGCTCCTTGAATGTTCACGTAGCAGGTGCCACATTTATTTGGGAATATGCAAAACAACACTTAGTTTAAGAAAATACTTTATGTTATAATGGAATTTTCAGGGTACATAAACAAGTTTCTTAATAATAGATAACATTTTTTTTAAATACTTATACAAAGGTAATAATTCCTAGAAATATAAAGTCTTAATGAGACCTTGCAATCTCTGAGAAATACTGCAAAATGTCCTCAATACTAAATTCCAAAGTAACCATAGACCCTGGATAACATTGCTGTATTAATTCTTCCAACATTTTGTATTGCCTTATAAATTCTTCTTGCATAGCCCTCCAAACAACTTGCAACAAATTGCTTTCTTCCGATAAATGTTTCTCCACTTTTTTGTACAAAGATTCTATACCTTTTTTAACTGTACTTCCCGGATATTGATTAATCACTTTTCTCAATTCTTGTTTACTGAATGCTAGTTGGTAACTTACTTCAGAGGCTTTGACACCACTTGCAACTTTAGCTTGAACACCTTCAAAAAACGTCTAAAAAGGAATCAATGAGACAAATTGTATTATTACAATAAAAACTATTACATTTAACTTTTCCAATGGCCTACCAAAATATAAAGTTACATAAGACTGTAAGGCATCACTATATCTTTGTTTAGCTTCTTTTCTTTGATTATCGAGTACAGATATTTTCAACTGAGATAATAAAGAGTAAAGATGGTGATAGTTTTCTAAAAAAAAAAAACAATAATAATAAGAAAACCCCATTAATAAACAAAAAATTTTACCCATTTTTGTAACTTGTGAAGGCGTCTTTTGCTCATTAGCATGTACAGGTATATAATCAATAATGATATCAATTAATCGAGTGTACCATTTTTCCAAATCGGCAGCCCTATCGCTCCTCAATAAACACTCGACATTAACAGCGAAAATTTCCAAATTTGAAACATAAGGCAAAATGCCAACTTTGGATTTTCTTGCCAAACGACACTCTTTGACCGAATCGATTTGGGTTTGCATAAACTGATCCAGCGAACGTTTTACTTCGATTAGTTGAGAGGCAAAAGTGTTGCTGAGAAACGAACTTTGTGCTGACATCACGTGCTGATTCAAGCAAACCAAAACATACATACAATAACTAAAATAAAAGTTCAAAACCCCAAAAGCAACATACAATAATTGCATACTTACAAACTATCTTGTCTTTTAACATTATCAATTAACAAATCCAATTCTGTTTTTAAACAAGCAAACAAATTACTCATCATACTTTTAACGTCTTCATCAATTTGCTTTTCAACCTTTTTTTGTGGCAAAATTATTTCGGTACTAACTTCGCTGCCATCCAAAGTGGTAAGGGTATTTTTAGAAGTAGGACTTAGCACATCTAGTTGAAAAAATTTAACGCAAAATTGTTGCTCTTGCATAAACACTGGTTCCAATTGTGTAAGGACTTGTTCCAAAATTGTCTCGTAGCGTTTTCTATCTGAAGAACTAGTTTCTAGAGTCCAAAAATCTCTATCTAAGCCTATGAGGGTGGTGGGTGATTGAACTGGATAAGCTCCGATTTTTTCTCTTGCTGAATTGAATAAACTTCTCAAGTCTCTATCGTATAATTTGCCCAATGATGATGTGTAAACTTCTTTGAGTGAGTCGTACATTTTTTTATCCATGACCTAATGAAGTTAAGACATTATTTAAAGATTGATAAGGTGTTTTCATTCGGGCTTAATGGCCATCGTAAGTTGGAATTTCTTCCTGACGTTTCGCTAGCATGCGTGGCTAGCATTTTCAGAGGTGCTTCCATGTCCGATTCTGGTAGCAGACTGACGCGTTTCCGACTGTAACTTGTATTTATGTGCAAGTGGCTGTGGTGGGGCTTCGCGGCACATGGCTAATCTCAACTTTCTCTGTACTGAATGTGACCTTTCTTGCGTTTTCGAGGATCGGGTTCCAGATTTGGTTAAGTTTAAGTATTTCTTCTTTCCTGTTGTGGATTTCTATAGCGTCACATACAAGACGCTTGTAGTATCCGGAAGTCGGTGCTAGAAACCAAAGAGTATTTCATGATTGCCCAAGTCTGCAGTTTCTTTTGTGCACATTCATCCTGGTGCCCATGGATCCTTTTGTCGTTCCTATGTTTACCTTACCACATGTGCATGGTATACGATAGAATCCAGCGCTTGACAGTGGGTTCCTCTTATCCTTGGCTAATCTGATTGATTGCTGTATTTTTTTTGTTGGCTTAAAGATTGTTTTTATGTTGTGATTCTTCAAGACTTTCCTCATCCTGTCTGTCACCCGAGAAATGAAAGGCAGATATGTATTAGCCACTACTGGTTGTTCATCCACCTTTTGTCGTGTGGCAGTTTTGGGTCGCATGGCCCTGTCGATTTCAGATGCATTGTAATCATCCTGCTGACCGGGCTGAGCGGACTTCCCATAGTTACACGGTCCGTTTGCTCGTAGAAATCGCTATTTTGCAGGAAGTAACTACCAGTGAGACATGTCCGGAAAAGCTCAACTATGTCATTGGGAAAGGTACTTGATATCAAGTCAAGAGATTCTGTCAATTCAATGGCACTTCTGTGAATAGGGACGCGACATCAAAGCTGACCAGGATATCCTTGGGTTAAAGAATAATATCTCTAATTTTCAGGACAAAGTGAATGAAGTCCTTGACGTAACAGCTAGTTTTTCCTACATGCGGTTGAAGAAGCGATGCAAGATGTTTCGCTAGGTTGTACGTTGGTACTCCAGGTGCCCTCACTATAGGTCTTAGCGGGTCTTCCGGTTTGTGAATTTTGGGTAGGCTGTAGAGTCGTGGTGGAGCTGCTTCTGTTATTATGATGCCTTTCTTAACTGCGTCTGTTAGGGTAGATGAGCTAATCAGTTTGTTGTTTTTCCGGAGTATGGCTTGGGTAGGATCCTTCTTTAGCTTTCGGTAGGTAGATGGATCAAGGAGTTCCTGAATTTTCCAGTTGTAGTCTTCAGTTCTTAACAGGACAGTGGCGTTGCCCTTATCTGCAGGTAGGATGATCATATCTTCCGCTGAATTCAGGTTCTTAATTGCCATTAGTTCCTCTTTAGAGAGGTTACTGGTTGGTGGTCGAGCCTTTCGTAGAACGTTGGCCGTCTCAACCTGGATTTCTTCCGCAGCTCAGGTAGTGCTCTGATGGCTGCTTCAGTGCTGGCTATAATCTCCTCCATTGGCAGGTGTTGTGGAGTGATTGCGAAATTACTGCCTTTTGCCAAGACGGCTGTTGCCTCTCCGGTAAGGACTCGATCCGTGGGATTGATGACCATTCTGGATTTGTCAGGTGGTGGGGAATTTCGGGTTTGTTTCTTACAGGGTGACGAGACAGGATAGGTAAAAGTCTTGAAGAAACACAACATAAAAACAATCTTCAATCCAACAAGAAAAATACAGTAAGCAATCAGATCAGCCAAGGATAATAGGAAGCCACTGTCAAGCGCTGGAGTCTATCGTATACCATGCACATGTGGTAAGGTATACATAGGAACGACCCCCTGGTTCCCATGGATCTTTATCCATGGGAACCAGGATGAACGCACAAAAAAAAACTGCAGACTAGGGCAATTGGAAAAATCGGCAGTTGCGCTTAGTGAAGGGAATCATGAAATACTCTTTGGTGAGGTCAAGCTTCTTGCACCGACTTCCGGATACCACAATCGTCTTGTACTTGAAGCTATAGAAATCCACGAACATACGGAGAACTAAAACAGGAAAGAAGAAACACTTAAACTTAACCAAATCTGGAACCTGATCCTCAAAAACGCAAAAAAGATCCCATTGAGTACAGAGAAGATTAGCCATGTGCCGCGAAGCTCCGCCCCTCTTCCACCACAGCTACTTACACATAAATACAACATACGGTCGGGAACGCGTCAGTTTGGTCTGCCAGTGGCGGCTCTTCCTTAGGTTTGCAGGTTTGCGCAACCCCCAAAACAAAACTTAAAAAATATAAAACAAAAATAGTAGAACTAAATTTTAGTACCTAATTATACTGCGGCAACACCCAACATTTCTCATATCGGGTCTTCAAAAAAAAAACCAATCGAAGATTGCTTTGATTACGAAAACGTACGTCGCATTCCTGTTTATTTATTGGACAGTATTATTGACAAATCATTTTGACATTAAAGTTCATTGAGAAAATTAAATAAAAATATTGCTAAGACATACGTTTAAAAAACCATAGCAATCTTAGATTGGTTTTTTTTTTTTTGAAGACCCGATACCTTTTCACCGCACAACATATGGTGAAAATAATCCTATTGACAGATATATGTCATTAATTAATAACTTAAATATTGATATATTTGATATGACCCTAGGTCAATTAAAAACGTACCTGAAGAATATGTGATATTTTTTGTATAACAGGGTCAATTCTGGTTTGTATATTATTTGTTGTACCTAATTCTATTTTATGTTTCCATATGTTAACTACTCATTAAGTATCAAGATCAAGATATTTTTCATAATACCTACATACTTTTACTAATACTAATACCTACTTACTTAAAAGATGATTTTTGGCTGTACTTGATTTGTTTTATATTATTGTGTAGTATTAATTTTTATAGTTAAATAATATTTATTATTTATGTAGTTATAGTTATAATATATATATAAAGTACCTAACTTATGCTTTATTCTTTATATTTTTTCTTAAATTGTATTTTAACAGTTAATGTGGTTTTCCCGTAAATAAATAAATAAATAAATAAAAAATAAATTATACCAAAATTTGGGACCTACATAATATGCAGTCAATTAATAAAATAATTTCACCAACTTCGCCAAAATATCAATAACTGACAGGCCGCCGGCGACTTCGAGTAGCGGCGTCGAGTCGCTGGATTGCAGCTCCAAAGCAAACCGATCTATTATATGAAGGCGCACATTTGGTTGCCTGTCTTTGTGTGGATTCAAAATCCGCTCCATAAGCTCCAGCAGGTTGCAAGCTAAGTGCAAACTTTGTTTATTTTTTTTGCTCGCAGCGCAGATTAGGTTTGTTTTGTGAAGTTTTGTCGCGTGGGGGTGAAAAAAAAAAGAATTCTGTTCAAAATTTAATTGCCGAGCCATTCTGTGGGCGTTCATCAACCGATAAGGCTGAAATAAAAAGACTTTGAAGGCCTACTCCAAATTTAAAAATTGAACAAACTGTAACTAGCAAAAAAAGGACTTTCACCAGGACATTTATTCTGGACCTTCACGAAAAACATGCACAATTGAAATTGCAACCCCCACATTTTTAATATACGAGCCGCCACTGTGGTCTGCTACCAGAATCGGACATGGAAGCACTTCTGAACATGCTAGCAAAATGTCAGGAAGAAATTCCAACTTACAATGGCCATTAAGCTTAAATGAAAACACCTTATCAATAAACCTGGGCCGCGAAAGCCTTATAAAGTTTATAATTAATACAAATTTGGTAATTTTTTCTGTCCCACTGTGGGAAAATAATTTGCTTCTAAATAAATTTATTAATGAACACAATAAAATGATCTATCAAAGGGTAGGCATAAGGAATTCTGTGAATTTTTTGCACTTCAATGCAATTGTTACTTCCTGGTATTTTGTATTTAAAAATGGTTTGCATATTAAATATACTGGGAAAGTGATGATAGCAAAAGCGTTAAAAAACATAATTTATAGGAATATAGATCATACTGTAACTTTAGGATATAGAAACGATAGTGGCACTTTGAAGGACAGTTATGATAAGGACCAGGAAGAAAATATTAGGGAGAATGATTTTTTATGACTGACTCAATTATTTTAATTAATGCGCAAAGTCTTGTCTCCAAATTTGAAGAAATAGATCATTTTGTGTTAAGAAAGAAGCCACTTATTGTATGCTTAACAGAGACAAGATTAACAGTTGAAATTGAAAATTTTGAGATTGATATTTTAGGTTATCATATTGTTAGAGTTGATAGTGAAAGTCGCCACACAGGAGGTGTAGTAGTTTACTTGAGGGAAAACATTAATATTTTGGAAACAAAAAGGTATCAGTTTCAAAAAAATTACTGGTTTTTGGTAGTAAAAATTTCATTTAACAATAGGATTTATGTTCTAGGAAATCTGTATCATTCCCCTAGTGCTAGTGACGCAGATTTTTTGAATTTTTTCGAGCAATGGTGTGTTGGGATAACAGACACGAACTGTAATATAATAATAATGGGAGACTTTAATATTAACTGGTTGGCAAGCTCTACATATCCAAATAAACTTAAAAAAATTGTAAGCGATGCAGGCTTGTATCAGGTGGTGGGGACGGTGACACATCCTAGTATTAATGACAATGATGGAAGCATTATTGATTTGGTCTTAACAAACAGAAGGCATATTTTGCAATGTAAGGTTATTGAAACTCCTCGAATAAGTGATCATTTCATTGTAAGTACAAACATAGGACAATCAGCTGGCTTTAACCAGGATAGTTTAACTATTCAAACCCGCGGTAGGATAGATTATAATGCGATAAATAATAAATTATCCAATATTGTATGGGATTATCGATGTACTGATATTGATATTAAACATTGTTTGTTTTACAATCATATGAAGGCAATTTTAGATGAAGTTGCCCCACGAGTTGAAAAAGTAATAAAGCCAAAGTTTAAGGAATGGTTTAATGATAGAGTTAAAAAAGCAATTGAGAACAGGGATAATAGTTACAAAAAGTTAAAGGCAAATAAAAATCTAGATAATAGGGTTAATTATAAAAAATGTAGAAATACAGTAGTAACAGTCATTAGGGTAGAAAGGGAAAAGTATTATCAAAATAAAATCGATCTAGCAAAAAATAATCCAAAACAAATGTGGAATACACTTAGCCAATTAATTTCTGGGAAAAAGAAAACTAATATCAGTAAGCTCAAAGTTAATGATAGTGTTTTGGTTGATACAAAAGAAATCGCGGATAATCTAAACTCGTATTTTGTTGAGAGTATTGACGATATAAAAAAGAAAATTGACAAACATAACTTAGTGGGTGAGTGGAAACAGAGTGCAAGTGACGCTATAGAACAAAATTATATAGATACGTTTGATCTAATTGATTATAATTACCTTAAAGAAATCGTATTTTCATTACCTAACAAAGGAAGCCCGGATGATATAACGTCAGAGTTTCTAAAGAATACCTACATTAACATTGAAAAGCCACTCTTGAACCTAATAAATACGTCACTGGAAATTGGACAGGTACCCTCTTTATTAAAAGTATCTACAGTAATACCGATTCAAAAGGTAAAAGGTACAATTAGTGCCGAGGAGTTTAGGCCAATTAATATGTTAGTAACTATTGAAAAGATATTGGAAAAAATAGTATATAAGCAACTAATGCAATTTATCTCAGCAAATAACATCTTAATTGTAAATCAATCAGGGTTTAGAAAGAACCACAGTTGCGAATCCGCCATTCAAAATATACTTTATGAGTGGAAAGATCTTTTAGATGAAAACTATGTGATAGGGGCAGTGTTTCTGGATTTGCAGAGGGCTTTTGAAACAATAGATAGAGAAACATTGATAATGAAATTAAAACAAATTGGCATAAATAATAGAGCACTGGACTGGCTTAGTGATTACATGAATAATAGAAAGCAGGTAACAAAAATAAATAACCATATATCTTCAGAACTATCAAATACCAGCGGCGTACCACAGGGAAGTACATTGGGCCCATTGTTATTCTTAATTTATATTAATGATGCAGTTAAAGAGATTAATAATTGTTCAATACATATGTTCGCAGATGACACATTGTTATGTTTCAGTTCCAAAGATTTGAATCATTTAACTGAAACTATTAATTTGGAGCTTGCACAACTACACAAGTGGTTTAATAGCATGTCATTAAAGTTAAACATACAAAAAACAAAATTTATGCTTATAGGGAGTGATACATTTCAAAAACAATTTAAATTGAGTAACTTGAGTATAAAAGTGGAAAACACTACTTTAGAGGTAGTAGAAAAAACTAAATATCTTGGTTTTATTGTGGATAATCATCTGACTTTTAAGGATCATGCATTGTATATAATTGACAAAATAACCAAAAACGTTAATTTTTTGTCGCGAGTGTCGCCGTTCCTGTCACGATGGTCGAAGGTGGCTGTCTTCAATACATTGGTCCTGCCACATCTTGTTTTTAGTTCATCTATACTCTATCTTGCCAATAAGAATGAACTGAATAGGTTACAAAAACTTCAAAATAGGAGTATGCGAATTATATTAGCTGCAAAAAGGGATACACCCATAAAAAATATGCAAAGGGAACTAAACTGGCTATCTGTGGAAGTATTTTTACAATATCAGATATTAATACTTGTCTATAAAATAAAAAATCGTTTAACTCCCAACTACTTATCTGAGAAACTTGTTACAAATGAAACTGTACATACATACCCAACAAGAAGCAAACACAATTTTTATGTAACAAAAAAGAATAGAGCAAGTACTGAGAAAGCGGTATTCCACAAGGGCTTGATTGTGTTTAATTCTTTACCTGATCATATCAAGAATATTTCAAAATTAAATGTATTCAAAACAAAATTGAAAAAACACCTAATAGGGGAATGATAAGAAATGTATTGGCATAAGGTTGAATATTTAATTTAGGTCAGTTAAATAGTTGTAGCATACAGAGCAAATTTGTATAACACTTGTTTCTTTATTTTATTTTTAGTTTTAAGTTTTTTTTTTATTAGTCTTTTTTGTGAAATTGTAAAATAATGTATATTAGCCAAGTGCTAAATAAAGGAAATTAATAATTAAAGATTGACGCCTTACCTTCATCCAATGCATTAATTCAGTATAAGGATACAATTCCTTATGCACGCCACTATGTTGAGGCAATATAAGGCCCTCAATATTCTTGTCAGCCTCTCCTTTATGATTTCCATAATGTATGAATAGATTATTCAATTGCCTGCTCAAACTTCTGGAAAATTTCTCTTTGTATTTTTCGAATTTCTTTCTTTGTTCTTGAATTGCAGACATTTGCAGTAGGGCCTTATCGATATCTGAATTCATGGCTACTTTTAATGCTTGTGCTGCTTTAACTGACAAAGTAAGACCTTCGGGTGATGTAAAATCTGCATCATCTAAGATTTTCTGGTATTCTATTGGTAAATCTAATTTAGTCACAATATTTTCCAATTCCTTCAACAACAATTGATTATTCTTATTAACAACTGAATTCATTGAGTTTTTCTTTTCCATAGCTTCCATAGTGTCTCTGACGTGACACAAAATCTCATCATAATTATCCAATTGATTTTCAAGTCTATCAGCTTCATTTACGGCTAATTCGAGTTGCTCCATTAAAGTTTCCACATTGCTTTCTGAAGCTAGAACGCATTGTACATTTTCACCATCCAACAAAGATAAATCTCTTGCCAGTATTTCCATGAAGCCTTCAGCATTGCTTATGGCAAATTCACAGCCTTGCATAAGTCGTTTCAGGTCTTCCTGTTCTTTATCTGTTATAGCTTGAAAGTCTTCAACTAAATCATTATCGAAAGCTATTAAAGGGGATGTAATATAATTGTTTTCTGGTGTTAGGGCGTCTTCTGTTATCCATCCTTTGGGGACGTTTTTAAATACAGGCATATCTTTGACGATATGCTTGGAGGCTTGTTTCCAAAGGTTGTGGATGAAGGCATAACGCTCTTTGGGGCTTGTACTAACCCAACGATAAACTTTATCGAAATATAAATCGAACTCTTGGGTATCGTACAATTCACTGTGACCGTCAACTGATTTCAGCTCGGCCAGTGACCAAGATCTTTTTCGCTTGAATGTTTGCTTATCAGTTTGTTTTATTTGGATTATGGAAATGTTGAAAGGGACTGATGTGGTTCCTACCAAGCACAGGAAGGAGGTTTTCTTTTTTTTCAGGTATTTGCTTACGTGACAACAGGAAATTAGTCTTTCTTCGCCTGGATTGAAGACGTCTTGTTGTAGGGAACGAATTATTGCTGAGGACATTGTATCGTTTTATGGTTTAATAATAAATTATTTAAAATAAGTAGAATGTAAATAAACTTTTGACGATTCGTTTTGTGTAAACGTAAACAGCTGATCTGATTCCGATTAGAGCAGAGGTTATCGATACGCGAAGATTGTTCACTGCGACCCGACCGACCAGTCGAGTATGGCTTTTTAGCGATCTTCCTGATTTTTCGAGCAGTTAGAGTAAGTACAAATGAACTGGGCCCGGATTCCGAACCCATGATTCGATAGTATCGTCTATCGTCAGGTAGAGTCTGTTTTTTTTTTAAAGATAATTCCCCAAGCCAAAATTATAGGTGGGTTCGGATGCTCACTCCGAGTGACTCCATTCGCACTCCAGCCGTTCGGATTAAGGTTCGGGTATTGCTTTTTACCGTATTAGGGGTGACTCCATTAGCTCTGTTCACTCCACTCCAATTCCGTGCTGAATAGCCGAACCCAGCTTATGTTGGCAACACAAGCCTTCTCTACATAAAAAATTTGAAAGCATTGACAATTTTACATAGTATTGCCAACATAATGTCATTTTGACTTTTATCTTAAAAAAAAAACTTTACGTACTTTTGCACGGTTTGACGATAGACGATAACTATCGAATCGTGGGTTCGTAATCCGGGCCCAGCCTAGAGCTGTACTGAGTGGAGTAAATGGAGCTCACTCCAACAATTCTACTTGGGAACCTGCTGGTTGTTTTTCGAAAGCACCTAAGGTGAGTTCGGAATGGTAGAAAGTGTAGACACTTTTTACACCATTGACACTGTGGCGTTCGTTAATTGGTAAGAGTTTTCGGTGTACACTTTTTTTGCGTTTGAAAATGATTTGTTGTCCGAATGGTGTGAAGATGGTGGACACCGTTTACTCGGCACAAAATGATGTTGTATTCGGTGTCACACCGCCGATTCCACCTTCATCACGTGAATAACACTGCACCACACGAACACCGCACTAGCACTGCACTAAAATCCCATTCCGAACTCAACTCTAGCACCTATGACTCCTATATGAGCTGGGTTCGGCTTGCACACTCCGAGTGACTCCGTTCTCACTCCAGCCGTTCGGGTATTGCCTTTCAACGAATCAGATAACGGCTGGAGTGCGAACGGAGTCACTCGGAGTGCACGGAGTGTACAAGCCGAACCCAGCTGAGATTGACATATCAATTATAAATGTTTGTGTATTGAGATTATTATTAATTTTTTAATTTAAATTTTTATATTTTGTGTTATTTAGTGTAATTTACTTGTTCAGTGCAGTTTTTAATTTGCCACAGCCTCAATAAGAAAAACAGGAACATCTCCAAAAAGTCAACTTAGAGAAAAACATTAAAATTTGTCTCCTAAATACTACAAAGATCCATTCAAAAATGCTTTAAAACCATGAACCATTTCCTAATAATTATCTCAACTTTATCCCTAGCAGTCGTGAATTGTGACCAAAAAAACCTAACGCAAAAATTCGACCCATTAGGCCCCCTAGTAAAATGTTCCTATTTACCATGGGAATTCATCGACTGCGATGACCCTATTGACCATAAGGGCAACAAAACTGCTATGGAAGAATTGGGCTACGGTTGCATTAAATTTGGTGGAATGCGTTACGAAGACGTCACAAGAACCAAAGTAATCTGCAGAGCCTTAGAGAAAATCGAGTGCTACGGCAACAGGACATTTTTCAAAGAAAGCGTACCTTGCATTAAATATTCGAATCACTATTTTACAACTACTTTATTGTATAGTATTCTGTTAGGGTTTTTGGGCATGGATAGATTTTGTTTGGGGCAAACTGGCACGGCCGTAGGGAAATTATTAACTGTTGGAGGCTTAGGAATTTGGTGGCTAGTGGACATAGTGTTGCTAGTTACAAACAATTTGGTGCCTGAAGATGGAAGCAATTGGAATCCTTATGTTTAAGTTTTAAATGTGATTTTATTTTTAAGGACTAAAATAAACAGTTAGGTTCTTATATATTTATATAGGCTTTTATTTAACTAGTTTAAGTAAATCGTTTTCATTGAAATAGACTGCAGATGTTGTAGAGATGACTATTACAACTTCATAAGTTCATAGTACATACTGCATATTGGAAATAATGAAAAACATGAGGAAAAACATAATCAAACCTCATAGTATGAAGAAATAGAATTTGAAAAATTTTATACAGAAAAATTATAAAACATACATAAACAACTTCAATCTAAATAAAGAAATGTTTCCTCAAACAAACTTTAGGAAACACCTCGGGAAACACTAACAAATATTATTCAAGAATGTTCACATAAGAAGATATAAATAAAGAAAAACAATGAAGATTGGTTTCATCAAGAACTCTATTACTGAGAAAGGAATATGATGAACTGTAACAGGGAAAAAAATAAATCGCTATAATGGAAAGAAATATTCAAAATTATAAAGTTATAAAAAAGATGATAAAAGGAAACGAAAAAAAATACTTCAAAGAAAAATTTGAAGTATCAATTTCTAGAAGAATTTGGGAGAAAATGAACAACTTTTTTATAAAAATCGAAAACCCCATAGCAAACCAAAATTCCAAGTAGACAAATTGAAAATGAAATATGGATTCCAAATTCAATGAAGAACTCATTGGGAGAAGATAAGATATCGCAGAAATTATCAATCAATTTGATTCAAAAAAAGTTGATGGTTAGGTATCAGGGTTGGCATATACAAAACCCTATTTGAAAAACCCAGTGGGTTTTTGTGTCAAAAACCCAGTGGGTTTTTGTGTCAAAAACCCACCCATACAGAACTCATTTCTACCATATACCATAGTTGCAAATATCAATCCAAAATCTAAGATTGATAAGATTTCTTATCTGTGCATATTAAACAAAATAAAAATCTTAAGGAAACTAAGGCCAGGTTTATTCATCTTCAGATAAACTTGCTGGTAACTATCTGCAAGATAAATTTACCACTCTATAATTCTATTTGTCGACGGATAACTGACCAATGGGATTACAGATTGTGTTTTTATCAGGCAGATTGCATACCTGACTCTGATGGTTTATCAGAAAGTGGATAAACCAGCCCTAATAGGTGTTAATCAAACAATTCTTAGATACAAAAGTAAAAATTAGAAGGAACTTTTCTCTAGATGACTACCTAATAGTAGTAACGTAACTAAAAAAATAATTTGTGAAGTTGAGACGAAAAGTGAACTTAGAGTGACGTAGAATGAGTGACGAAGAAAGAGACGATTTTCATGATTCCAGAGACGGTTTAAGCGGTGGTATTTCAACAGGAACTCAAGTTCCTGAAGTACTGGAACCGCAGATGATACACAGGTAGAAATTGTTAATTTAAATAAGTTTTTTCGGAACATAATGATAGAAAACAAACGTAGAGATGAGATGATCGAAAGATTGGCAAATCAGATGATTACGAACAGTGGAGCAGCACCTGCACAGCCAGCTGATCACCCCATAGCCACCGAACACTCACAAGGTTTTCCTTGGGAATTTTGATGGAACCCCTGCAAAGGCATCAGTTTTGTGGTTGGGCACATTGAATAGTACGCAAACCCTACACCACGCCAAATTCCAGACAGGTACATGCTGGAAACAGCAAGAACGAGATTAGAAGTAGCCAGTAGCCAAATATTGGTATTTGATTAAGCGTATTGAGATTTTGACGTGGAAAAATTTTGTAGACAAGTTCAATGCTACCTACATTTTCGCCTAAAGAAAGCTTGGCAGTGAAATTTAAGAAAATGGAGAGCAGTTTTAAATTCATATTTTCATGAGAAAGTAAAGTTATGTACACATTTTAGGCCTAGAAATAGATGAAATCGACGAGCAAGTGCTTAATGGGTTACATTCTCGATCAATGTGCGATGCAATGTGAGCGAAAAGGCATTACACGGGGCATGATATAAGTGAAATTAATTAAATAATGGATAGAGTTTAAATAAGGTCGCTAAAAAGATAAACTACTCGCTACTAGATCGTTTATTCGGTATGAAATATTTTGGACATTAGATTTGCGAAGTGGTTACTATTAAATCCCGGTTAAAAAAAAACTCGCAGCGTATGTTTGAATTCCCGCGCATGCCCTTTGGGGTTGTTAATGAAACGGCAGTGTTTCAAAAATTAATAAATAGTGTTCGCGGACCTCTGTGTGGCGTATATGGATGACCTGCTTTTATTTACCTGCAGTATCGGTTGATCAAGGATTTGAAAATTTAGAGGAAATACTCAAAGTTTTGAGGCGTGCGAACTTAAAGTTGAATTTAAAGAAATGTTATTTCCTTTTCGAGAGTATAGATCACTTGGGTTTTAAAATATCGTCAAACGGGATTAAACCGGGTAGAAGAAAATAAAAGTGTGTTTTAGACTTTCCTGAACCTAAAAGTGTGACTAATGTCAGACAATTCTTGGGACTTTCCTCATATTTCTGTCGATTTATCCGTAATTACGGGATAAAGACCAAACCCTTAACATATGTTTGTTATCTAAAGATGTATAGAATTCAAAACGTACACAGATGCCAGCTGAATTGGATTTGGCGATATGATTCTTCAGAGACAGGTCCACCATGTAGTATATGTGAGTAGATAGACTACACCCGAAGAATAGAAATATCACTCATCAGAATTAGAAACTTTGTGCTTAGTTTGGGTATTGTGGAGATTGAGACTATACCTTATCGGCATAGAATTTATATGTATTATAGATTACAATGCATTGAGAAGTTTATTCACTAAAAAGCATTTAATTCCAAGAATAGGTCCGTGGTGGCAAAAAATGCAAGAGACGTAATACATAGACCTGCGACAATAATGGCGCGCATGTAGGTGCGTTGTCATGCAATCCGATTGGTGAGACAGAAGGTACAGATTGCTCAGATGGTTCACAAGAAATGATGAACACCCTTGAAGAAGATGATTGGTTATATTTATATCAGAAAGAAGATCCAAAACTTAAGAATATTATGTAAGTATTAGCCAAAAGGTCGAAGATTACTAAAGAAGAGAAGAGAATAGGAAATGAGTATGAGATTAGAGATGGTTGATTATTTAAGAAACAAAATGAAGATTATTATTGGTCGTATCTAGTAAAATTAGATGGAGGATCACGAAGATATATCACGAAGATTTAGGACACCCCGCTCTTCCAAAAACTTTGGATAAACTTAGAAAACTCTGGCCAAGAATGAAGAACTATATTGGAGTTTGCACAAATTGCTTATATAATAAAATACCTACGTAGTGGAAAACCTCCAGGCAAACTTCATTCCATAAACAAAATTGGTTTTCCATTTCACACGTTGCACTTACACCACGGGCTCTTTATCAAGAGTACATAAGGAAAACAATAAATTATTATTTTTACTGATAATAGACGGATTCACGAAGTTTGTGTTCTTAAAACCAGTCAGAAATACGAGATCAGTGATTTCTGCAAAAGCCTTAGAAGAAATAATGAATATAGTAGGTCCACCACACAGAAATAATACAGATAGTGGTACTCCATTTATTGGAACTCCGTTCAAGAACTCATGCAAAGACAAAAAGATTAGTCATATTCTAAATGCTACGTCGACTCCGCGAGCAAACGGACAAGAAGAACGAGTAAATAGATATTTGATTCCTGCACTAGCAAGTATGTATGTGTAGAAGTCGAGATGGTGAAGATTGGGATAAATATGTGGGTAGAATTCAGTATGGAATTAAGAATACTTTGCACCGAGCTACAGAAAGAACACTTTTTGAGTTATTATGCAGCTTCAAACCAAGACATACAGATGTTGACGTCATACAAGATGAGCAATAGAGTCAAGACTTTGGTGGAGACATAGAAGAACGAAAACAAGATGCATTAGAAAAGATTAGAAACAATTAAGAGAAGCAGAGAGAGATATTTAATAAAGGAAGAGCAAAAGAGACTAACTACATTCCAGGAGATCTTGTCTTAGTTAGAAAACAATCAAATAGGCGAATCAAAGAAACTATTGGAGAAATATAAAGGACCTTATATTATTGTAAAGAAACTATCGAATGACAGATATCAAATAGCAGACCTTCCTGAGATGCAGCGTACTCAAAATTTCTACAAAGGAGTAGTTGCAACGAAAATATTCAAACTATCTGAATGTGATGATTCCGAGGATGACTACTATGATGATGTCGATGATGAACTAGAACAAGAAGAGTCTGAGAATCATATAATGGTGAACTATGGTGACGATGGGACTAGAAACCCGATTGCGACAATAAATCCAGAACATAGACAAAAACCCGATAAAGAGAAGCGACTACCTAACGAAATCTTTTGACAATGGAAAATTAAATATTTCTAATGATTTGAAAAACCTACAAAAAAGGCTTCAGGCAAATAAACTAATCATACATTTTAAAAAATCATTTTACGAGTTTATTAATAAAATATTTCAGTTTTTGAGTTGAGCAAAAAAAAATCCAATGAAATTTGAGAACGATAACATACAATATAAACAATTTTTGGGACAAGATGAACATTTAACATGGAAAGAACATATAAACCACACGTTACATACAAAGTTTAAAAAAAGAGAAATACTACGATTTCTTTAAAATCTTTGAAAAAGATTTACTAGGCATTATTTCATTCGAAAATTCCTGGTTTCGACATGGGAATCTGCAAATGACTCAGCATTAAGAACCGATCAAAAAACTACATAACAAAATAATCAAATGTATTCAAAAACTTCCGCTTCTAGGTTCAACTATTAATTTATATAAAACATTTGTTTATTTGAGCTTACATAAGTTATACAATTTCAATATTTATTGACTCCGCTAACAAAACAAAAAATATCAAATTTAAACCATCAAACGAATGATAATTTCCATAATTAGGTAACAAGTCGAAATAGAAATTTAGAATTATTGACAATTTAAAACCAATATTGGCAAAAAATCTTTACGATAATTTAGGCATTAAAATTTACAATGATTTAGCAGAAAATATTAAAAAATATAATCGTTGCATTTGCTTAAAAAATAAGTAGGTATTCTAAACAACATTTTATTTTATTCAATATACCTATGTAGGTAATTGGAATTACCTACTGTCTAATATTATTTTATCCCATTTTGACGTTTAAAAATGACATTATTGAACGCATAATGACAAAGGTAAGTAGACGTTTATCACCTGAGTGACTTAAAATATTTTTAACTCACTCTCGGTCTTTTAAGTCACCCTGCCAGTATAAAAATCTACTACAAATACAAACAAACAACTAGTTATACCTTAGCAACCACCAATTTCAATAATTAGCGCTTTCATAACTACTAAATGAATTCTTTTTATAATTTGATTCCTTACTTTTTAAATGTCCATCAAAATGGGATAAAATTTTGTATAAATCACGTGAGTTAAAATGTTTGTTCATTCGAAGAAAATTAACCCACTCGCTAGGGCTCGTGGGTTAAACTTTCTTCTCATGAATAAACATTCATTTAACTCACTTGGTGTATAAATAACTATTA